TGATGATGATGATGATGATGACAGTAGTGATGCTGTGAATCATGACGTCGATGACGATGACGAAAAAGATGTTGCCGTCTTTGTCCGCAACTTGCCGCTGTCTTTGTTGCGAGTATGACGATGGTTTTCCGTTTGAGAAGGTCGGGTACAGGCTTGGACGGGGACTCAGCAGGCTGCAGTGTGTGGGAATTGTGAGTGGGACAAAGATGTTGCAGTTTCACTATAAAAAAGAAAGCAAACACGTTCCGCGACCAGCCGCTGCGACCACTGGCTCCACATCCGGGCACCGGCATCTGAACGCCCCCGAATTCCAGGATTGTTGAATTTCAATTCTGCGTGGCAGCTCGGACACAGCACTCTGCAAGTGGACCCAAAGATCCGACGACGTGTCATGGATTGTTTATGGCTTGGTGCACGTGAGGGTTTAGAAATATTAACAGGATTGCTTCTACGGCATGCCATGAATGCTCTCATTGCAGGTATCATCTGTCACACCAACGTTGCTAGCACTGCCATTCTGGGGTGCACGGCTTCACGGCCGCATGTCTTGCGGCTGTGAAGCAGGAAAACAGTGAGCTAAGAGGCAGGCGCGGGGTACCCCGTTGGGTTGACAACCGCGAAACCACCACGTCGCTGCCTAGAGCCTGTGGCCGACATCCAGCCTGGCCTAGCAGTGGGAAAATTGGATTTCACTCAGGCCCCGGGCTCGAGAACGGCACCTGATCCAACAAGCAGCAACTCATGACCCTCCAAAACACTGAATAGAACCTAAAGACCGTAAGCCGGGAACACTTCAGCCACGGTAACGATGATGGTGATGATGTTGGCTTATGATGATGGTGATGATGATGGGGATGATCTTGGCTTATGATGATGATGACCTCGACATCGCCCATGTATATTCCTTTGGTTAATTGCCCTACTTAGTCTACAGGTATAGTCTTGCTTAGGGTTCAATCGCTTCGAGTTCTTTGCCTCCTTCCAGCTCAAGGGCCTGGACCCGAAACCCGTAAGAACCAAAACTCTCAGCTGTGAACTAGGGGTTTAGGGTTTAGGGTTCAGGGTTTAGGGCTTAGGGTTTGGGGTTTAGGGTATGAAATTGGCACCGAAATCAATACCCTGAGCGGCCGACGAGACCTACTGCACCTACTCAATCCTGTGCTGCAGATGTACCGAAACATGAGCCCTGAACGGAAGCTGCCCTTCAGAGCCCAGAAATTAGGATGGGCCCTAAACCTGAGAGTAAGGCCGTAGTACGCTCGTTGTGCATCTCCCGAGTCTGTTCTGCAACATCCTCACGGTTCACCTGTTGGGACGATACACATGTGACCTTCGACATTTCTTCGCTCAACTACGTAAGTTGTTTGGCTCAATTAAGTCAAGTACTGCTCACACCCTTTGTGTAGTTACACATGGCGGCAAAGTTCAGTGCTTTATGTTATGCGCAGTGAAACTCTTCAACGCTCAGGTCCCTACCTCCCTATCTTGTCAAGGAGCTCCCCTAGCAGACGAGGGTATGGGAGCTAGGATTAGGGGGACCCTTGGGGATATAGACCCTCTCAATAATACTACCTAGGGTACTGTTGGCAAATCGTCCGTTGCACGCAGGCAGTCGCAGTCTTCTGGTCTACTGCCGTCTCGAGTCGTTCGAGGCATGGCGCGTATGGGTAGTTCTCTAAATTAGGGTCCCTTTTAGGTCCCCGATATAGTACGGCACCCTTATTAAAANNCCTAATATTGAAAACTACCCACATGCCTGTGGAAGCTCTGGAGAAAATCGAAGATGTCCTCAACCACCTCGAACTTTGAATGCGACGCTGCAACCTGATCAACTTTGGAGCCTTTGATCCTGAGGCCAAACCCCCTCCCCGACTTCTCGTCCCAAGCCAGTCATCCCACAGCCCTTTCGGACCTCGAACGACTCGATTGCCGCTTTTGCCGTGCCCTGGCTGTCGAAAGCTCTGAGATGTGTCGAGCTTGCAACTCATCATCAGGGCGGTGAATGCGGTGGTTGTGGGAATGCTACCGTTGCTGCCGCCGCTGCTGCTGCCGCTTGCCGGCGCTGGTGCTGGCCCCGGCACTGGCGCAGGCACCAGTACCATGCTGGTGGTCGCTGTTGATTTTTGATGTCGATGTTGATGCTGGTGTTCTTAATCAGTGTTGCCCCTGCTTTTCTGCTGTTGCTGTTGCTG